ATATGAAATGACTTCTTCACAATTCCTCTCTTTCTACATTTTCTGATGTGCATCTATTTCCTGGCACGTGAGGCATACATTTAATCTGGGCCTTTTACATGGATGTATCCTTTCGTATTCAATAGTTGAGATTACTATATTTTTGGATGGTTATGAGTCTATTGAGATTCAATATTGACTGGGATTCACTTATAAAAATATATATACTATGCCAGTGTTATTCGATTCTACATTAATCACTTTCCATGCTATGATTCCATTTTTTTAAGGCCATAGCCATTCCCTAGGCGGCTTTGGACCAGGACCGTGCTTGGGGAACACTAAATTACCTCTTTTAAGGGGTTTGGTGATATCAATGTTGACCGAGATTCACATACACGGACCATTTGCCTCCACTATCCCAATCGATGATCCCTATTGGTGTGTGCTTGCTTTGGTCTTCAAGTGCAAATGGAACCTTATGATTCTGTTCCCAGAACGATGTTGGTCAAACCCAATGGTTCAGATGTCATCAAGGCATTGGGTTTCATCAGAACATTCAGGTTCTTATTAAACGTCGAAGGGCCCCGGTTGAAAACCCATTGTCTGTAAGCCTCACTGCCAAAGAAAAAAGCAAAAGTGTTGTTTCCAGATTTTGCTTCAATTTGAACATAGAAATTTGTACGCCATATCTGCCAGAGAACACCATCGAGTCCATCTCTGTTCAATGCCTGACTGCCAAGGATTTTTCCCAATAAACATCAGGCAAGGCAAGCTACCCCTCCTTATAATGTCTTGTCAGGAATACGATGGAGCGGTTCATCAGATCTGCTTACGCAAAAATTGGCACATGTTTTGGCTCGTTCTGTCAGATTCATGGAACAAGGGTAAGGGTTAAGGTATATGGTTTATTGTGAAAGTAGGGTTTTATCCACTGTGGGTTTTACGGGTTTTTTTTAGGGTTTGTAGTAAAGTGGTCATGCGCATGGGATATATGTTGGATTTGGATGAAAGGGCATCAAGGAGTTCATGTTTGTGAGGTATAAGACACTGCCGACCTACATTAGGGAGTGAGTTAAGTCCTCTAAGAAACCGTAGGGTATTGGCCTCTAACCCTAGAAACTTGGAGAGAACATAGTCTTAAATTGGAAGATTTTGCATACTGCATTTCTTTTGATAATTCCTTTTAATTATCGGTATTAGTGTCACAAATATAAATATTTCACTTCATAAAATTAAAGCAGGGGCTCCGAGCCAGACGAGGCCGAGCTGTATGGTAGTTCATTAATGGCGCTGAGATACCATGA